TCCCTCTCTCCGTAAGAAATCTCTTCCCCCTCACTGCTTTCAAGATTATTTCCTTGGGGGGTATCTGGGTGGCTCAGGTGTTAAGTGTCTGCCTTCGACTCAGGTCATGATCCCAGGGTCCTGGGATCAATCCCCGCATCAGGCTCCCTGCTCCGCGGAAAGCCTGCTTCTCCTTCTCCCACTCCACCCACTTGTGTTCCCTCTCTCGCTGGCTCTCTCTCTGTCAAATAAATAAATAAAAATCTTTAAAAAAAAAAGATTGTTTCCTTGGATCTAAGATTTGTGAATTGCACTATTACGTGTTGTGGCAGCGGTCTGTTCTCATTGATCTTGGGATGGGTCCTCTCTGCCTCATGGACATGAATGCTTGTTTCTTTTCCCAGATTAGGGAAGTTCTCAGCTATGATTTGCTCAAATATATTTTCTAGACCTCTCCACCCCCTCAGGGATCCCAATAATTCTGATATTGGAACATTTCATTGAGTTATTAATCTCTCTCAGTTTGATCCCTTGGGCTTTAATCTGTTTTTTCCATGCCACTTTGGTGTCTTTCTTTTCTATCATCTTATCTTCTAGCTCACTAATTCATTCTCCCCCCTCGTTTACCCTGGCAGTCAGAGTATCCTATTTATACTTCATTTCATTCATAGCATTTTTAAGTTCGGCCTGATTAGATCTCATTTCTGCCCTTAGAGATTCTATATTGTCGTTAATATTTTTCTCAAGCCTAGATATCGACTTCATAATTGTGACTCTGAAGTCTGTTTCTGACATCTTGGTTATATCCATATCTAATAGTTCTGTGGCAGAGGCCACAGTCTCTGATTCTTTTCTTTGTTGGGGTTCCTCCTCTTAGTCATTCTGTTGAGGGGTGGTTGAGGGAATGTATGGAGTCCAAAGTATTAACCACAACCCAAGCAAGTTGTACCTGTTTTATAGGGACATTAGGGTTGTCGTCCTCTTGTTCTTCCAGCCTGTCTTCTAGGGGAGGGGCCTGCTATGCTGTTACTCAGGCAACTTTGAGCAGAGTTGCCCTGCCCCCTGCAGGGGCAGGGCATGGGCTCAGTGAAAACTGGTTTTGGGGGGCTTTTGTTCTCTGGCGGCTTTCCCTGGTGGCTTTCTGTGTCTCCTCAGAGATTCAGAGCAGAAGTGACCACATCCAAACTTCTGTCTCAGAACAGAGAGTTCGCAGTCTGCTCTTCACTGACCTCTCCAGGCCTCATGGTCTCCGTTTCTGTCTGTGCTGCTAAAAACCGCAGTCTCCTGGGTTGTGTGCCCTACAGCAGCACTCCCAGCTGTCGCTCCCAGGACCGGGCACATCTCTGCCCTTTGTGCTTTTAAAACCACAAGCCACCCCCGGTTCACACTGTGCACCCATAGCTTCAGGTTTCTGTCTGGGGGACTGCCCTAAAGTCCTTTCCCCATGGCTACTGGTCTGTGAGTCTGTGCCCGGTGCCCAGCATGGGAGGAGTTTGCAGTCAGGTATTATCTCACCTTCCTGGCACAAGTTCATGTTGGATCCCTCCCCCTTCTGTTTATCTTCCAAAATCTGCCTGCAGAATGGCAGCTCCCCACTTCATACCTCGAGACTAACCCACGGAGATATTCTGTTTGTAGAGATCCAGAAATATCTTCTTACATCTCAGGCTGATTTTGTGGGTGTTCAGAATGGTCCCGTAGATATCCAGCTCAGTTCAGGGGACCAGTTGAAATAGGGCCCCGTACTCCTCCACCATCTTTTTTCTGATCCCTCCAGTATTTTTCTTGAGTACTGCTGCTAGAGTATAGTTATTCTTCATCTGGAAATCTCTGAATTAAAGAGGAGACTTATCTTCATTCTACACAATAAACATAGTGGTCCAAAATGGAAAAAAAAAAAATTAAAGAAGGAAGGCACATAACAATCACTAGTCCATGGTGATTCTGAAATCAATCAGACACATATTGCCAGTTCTTTAAATAAAGCTTAAAACTACTTTCTATGAGTTGTTCAGCATGGCTCTTGTCTCTCTCTTTTGGGGCCTGGGGTCCCCTTTCTGAGTCATTCTTACTTTTCCATAAAACATAGGCCATATTTTCAGTACTATAGATTTTCCAGCCTGTCTCTGACCATGGAAGTTTAGGCATCAAATTGCCTCTTTAAATTGTGGACTCATTCTGTCCTTCTCAGTACAAGTTGGCATATATTCCTTAAACAAAATTATGAGTTTTTTTATGAGTCAATTTATAATCTGTTGCATTAAACAAAAGGAATACTCACTAATCTCCTGGGTTTATGGTATGACTGCCTTGAGGCCTAAATCAGTTCTTATATCAGAGAAGTAGAAAAAGATTTCACTTATATATGGGTGGAGGGTCAAAGAATTTGCAAACATATTTAATACCTTAGTATCATATAAGTTTAATTTTGATTTTAAATATTTTTTGCAAACTTAATTCAGTTTGTAAGTATCAAATATTCTAAGTTGACTTGGGTTAAGGAGTAAATAAAATATTATTTCTTTTAAGAGTTAGATTGAGTGTAGTCATTTCTAGATTGTGAGTCCCAATTTCTTTTCAACTTACATCATTCATATTTTAAGACACCAGGTTTAATGTAAATGAAATAAGAAAATATATGTGAGATACATAAATCGGAAAGTTTTACAGAGTTAAAGTACAGAATTATCATCATTACCGGGAAGAAGCTTTCTTCCTTAGTTGGTTGTAATTTCATACTGAATTGGCATGCTATCCCATTAAAAAAAAAATTGCTTTTCCTTAAAAATGAGAAATAATTATTTTTCCTTTTGAGAAATGTATATTTTAAGGTCACTGTAATGAGAAGGTTTGCTTTTCCATGAATTTTCTTTTAGTCTTTCTGCTTACCAAGTTTCCTACATCTAAAGTGCAAAATGTAAATGTTATCTAGCACACTCTGCATCTATATTATAATCATTACATTAATTATACTTGAGCTCTTGGTAAAACAACATTATGAAAATATGAAATTTATATATGGCTATAGTTTTCATTAATTCTATTTAATGTATTTAATGATGTGTCTATTTTAAAAAATAGTAAATCTGCATTAGTACATGACTGTCAAATTATAAAGTCCAAAAATAATACTATTGAAATGACTCAACTATTCAAATTTCATAGAAATTACATGGTCATTGCCTTCATTCTCATGGGCAATAGTCTAGGAAATAAAATTAAAAGAAGCATTGTGGGGGCGCCTGGGTGGCTCAGTCAATTAAACAACAGACTCTTGATTTTGGCTCAGTTTATGCTCTCAAGGTCATGAGAATGAGCCCTGGGTCGGTGTCCCTGCTCACCCTGAGTCTGCTTGAGATTCTCTTACTCTCCCTCTCAAATAAATAAGTAAAATCCTTAAACAAATAAAAGAAAATAAAAGAAGCATTGTGTTTATGTAAATTAGCCATATATTTATTTTACATTGAGATGTAAAATACCTAACCAATAAAAATAAATCTCTCTTCTTTCTTCTTTAACCAAAAAGCATAAAGAAAAGTTAGTCAATACTATGGCTGAAAGTGAAGCCATCTGTTGCCTTTTTTTTTAAGTTAGTTTTTTAACATGCTTAAGCAACTTTAGCTATTTTCCACTTTCCTTCACACTCATTCTACCATTTCCAGTGATCTTTTGCCTTTGGTCAACATCCAGTAGCATGAAACCTTTCCAGCAAAGCTTATTCAAGTGTGTTTCACGTTAATGATCTTGGTCTGCTGGAAAACCAATTACACATTTTTCTATTTTAGCTCTGCTCTGTAATGGATAATGTTTGCATTAAAGATGTGTCAGCAGTGGTTTGCTGCCAGTACAGGAGCATACATAACTGATATTACTTTCAGAAAAAATCGCCCAACCAAGATGTTATACAATAAACTCTTGAAATAAATCAAGATAGTGAAATTATTTGTCATTATTTTCTTTACTTAATAAACCATATTTACTTATGCTCTAATATCTCAAATGACAAACCACTTATGCTATTTCAAAAAAGTAGGTTAATAAATATATATCCAATGTCTTTCTTGGGAAAAATCAGGCAAGATTATGAAAAAGCAATTCAACAATAGTTTATTAAATGCTTAATATATTCAAGGGACTGTGTTAAAAACTTAAATTTTATTATATTATTTATGCAAAAAGATAATATTTATAGACCTAGGTAAGTATGTATCTATATATATTTTTTGAGTTATACATAGATACTAATAATAGTTACCGCTATAGGAAAACAGTTGAAAATCAGGAGAGGAAAGATTACGTATTTGTTTTTGTATACACTTTCCATTTTTGCCATATGCTTATTTTGCTTTATTGTTTAAAAACATATTTTAAAAATAGAAAATATTCAAACCCAAGCCAGTTGACCTATATTAAGTTAGCTTATCAGTGTGCTGCTATCATCATTAAAAAATAGCTAAATGATTTTAGGGAATTAGCATTTAGAATCATTAAAGCACAGAAATAGTAACTGGCTAAACAAACTACACAGGCCAAAGTACTTGGTGCATCACTCACATTTATCCTATTGAGGAATTCTATATAAATGCCTCTTGTTTATCAACTGCATCAATTTAAAATAAAAAGATATGTAAATTAAAAATAAGATATTTTAAGTACATATGTAGAAAAATTAGACATTAGACTAATTACTAATTTTTCAAACTATTTACAATGCATTTGGTTGACTGACCATTAACATTTAATGAATTCTTGCTCTGAACCGGGCTTTATGCAAAGTGCCCTCACGACACACATAATGTATTTTATAAACAAGATATACGAGATTTAGAGAAGTTCGGCAACTTTTCTAGGTACCACAGCTCTTAAATAATAGAACTGGACTCCTATTCCTTTATATTCTAAGCTCTTAAAATCGAGTTTATACTCCTAATTTCAAAAATGTGCATTTTGTTTTTTTTGTTTCTGTTTTTGCTTTTCTGTAACATATAGAGCATTTGCATGATTGATTTGAGTTGATAACAATGGCCTTTGTATTGAGGTATGCTGTATATGGGTTAAGGTAGGTGGTAAAAGGCAAATATCACCACATATCTCAGGAGACGAACCATGAGAGACTATGGACTCTGAGAAACAAACTGAGGGTTCTAGAGGGGAGGTGGGGGGTATGGGTTAGCCTGGTGATGGGTATTAAGGAGGGAACGTATTGAATGGAGCACTGGGTGTTATATGCAAACAATGAATCATGGAACACTACGTCAAAAACTAATGATGTATGGCCTCCGGAGCCCAGCGCCGCCGCCTTGTCTTCCGGGGCCAGCGTGAACGCCCTGCAGCGCCTGGTGGAGCAGCTCAAGCTGGAGGCCGGCTTGGAGAGGATCAAGGTCTCGCAGGCAGCTGCAGAGCTTCAACAGTACTGCATGCAGAATGCCTGCAAGGATGCCTTGCTGGTAGGTGTTCCAGCTGGAAGCAACCCCTTCCGGGAGCCGAGATCCTGTGCTTTATTCTAAAGGCTGTAAGGAAGAAGTTCACTGAGGAATGCTTTTAAGCGCAAAGTGATGAATAACTAACTGCCTCCAAGTCTCAAGAAAACACTTTTCTCCAGACAAATGACTCTTAGATATTTCAGACCTTTCCTTGGCCTGGTCCTATAGCCAAAATTCTATAGAAATTGATGAGTTTCTACTCAGATAAGGAAACTGGGTGAGGGCAAAGACTTTAGATAATAATGGTCAGACTCTTTTGGTAAAGTGCTTTTGTATTAAACAAAAATGTTACCACCAAATACACCTCTTTCATAAGTGAATTACTGGTGTTTCTATAGCTGGAATATTATGTTTGTTGTATTTACTGGATGTTTACATTTTGGGAAGGCAAACATTTTTGTTTGTTAAAAAATTGAATATTTGTAATTTGTTGCTCCTAAGATTTTTATACCATAACAAAACTGTTCTTTTCTCCTGAATTTACAGTTTCTAAATGAAGACAAGCAAGTGTAAAACTGGGGGAAGAATAGGCTTTATTAGTCAAATGATGTCTTGATTTTTCTAAATGAGAAGATTGCTTTATTTTTAACACTAAACATGGGAGCTGTTTCTTAGCAAACTTGTTTGGAAAGATTCATGTTGTGTTGTGTATTAGATTGCCCCATCTTGTGTATGAGCAGATTTGGTCTTTGTCTTCTTAAGTTCCTCTACTTTATAGTTGTGGTTGTACTTAAAAAACAAAAAACAAAAAAACACACCATTATCTCATGTCTTTAAAAAAATGTTTAAATGTGTTACTCAGAACATTGCAAATGATTAAAAACAATGTGAAAATATTACAACCTAAATAAATTCTTAATGTCAAAAAAAAAACTAATGATGTATGATGGTTAACATAACATAATAAAATTAAATAAATAGCTGGAAGACTAAAAAAAAGAGTTGAGATTATAATTCACTAGCATATAAATCTTTTCTCAAATAGGTTTTCTCTTTCTTCGGAGAAGCTGAAGAAAGCATTCAGAACCCTTTATAATTCTTGGTACATATATAAATGTTTAGAGTCTCCCCTGAGAATACTGTATTAAGTCAGAATAATTCCATGTATCTCCAGTTTAATAAAAGAATTTAAAATATATGCCATTACTCCTTTCATCTTAGTTTCCTTTTTTTACTGTAACTTCCCTATTCATCATAATCATAGTTAATATAAACATAAGACAGAGAACCCTAATGTATAAGATTCTCTACAAATTTCTAAACAAATTGGTTTTTCTTCACATTTCTAATGACATATTTCAAAGACACAACGTCTATCTTATTTTATTACAGCTTAACTCTAAACTCTTTTCTCCAGAGTGCACTGCTTCCTCACAATATCATGAAATATTTGTATAGAATAACTCATCTGTTATAAAAGAACAAAGTTGAAAAATTGAAACACATTTCAAGCACCTGCCTCAATCTATATGCAGAACAAAAAAGCCCAAGTTCTACAGCTGGGCAATGAAGAACAAACATTATTTCATTATTTTAAAGCAAAAGATTGGAGATTAATTTTAGAATAAGTTAATCTTGCTAACCTAACACAATAAAATCTGATTTAGAAATATATCAACATATTTTTAAATGGCTTTCACAAAAGTGCTTTGAACTTTTGTGTATTTTTATAATATGTGTATAATTGTATCTTTACAGACTTGTGATTGTTCTGATTGCATATTTGGAAAACCTAGAAAAGATGATGGATAGTGGATCAATTTGAAAACTAAAAATGCAGAGGATTGTTATAAGTTTGAAAAGCATTCTATATTTGTTGTGTAAAACATATTATTATGGATACTTCACATGTATAACTTTTTAAGGTTATGTTTTAAGCACTAGAAATTTCTGAGAATAAATCTGGTTCAACAAACATGTCTTGAGTCCTACTTTGGCATGTGGGTCCTGTACCCGCAGCTGATCTCAAATAATTCAACACTGAAATCCCAAGTTCCACATATGTGTTTACTACACTAACAGGCAAAGCCCTCACAAACTCTCTATCTGTCCCCAAATCAAGAATTGTTGAAGTGTAATATGTAAATGGTCAGTTGACTAGCAGGGGAAGACTTGTAATATCAAGAACACAATAGAAGAATTAGAAAATGAGATTAATTCAAGTTCTATAGACGATAGCAATTTATAAGTTCAGTGACCATATATAAAAAATTCTATGTTTTAAAACAAGGTTACCACTCTGTCCTTTGTTTTTATCCTTAGTACTCTACCTATTGCTTCATATGTTAATTACGTACTAGCACCAACATGACCTTCCCAATCTGGTAAATAATGTTAACTCTAAAATTAGATTAGATCAAATTGTTTATATTCTTTGCACTCAAGCAATTCAACAAAGAAGGCAAAAGGAGAAATACATGTGAATGATCTTCCTTCTGGCCGAAAGTAAAAATCTGAGGTCATTGTCCATTTGTGTTAGCTTATCATGTAGTTCAAGGACTATTTTATGAATTTTAAACAGATAGAAAAGCAAATTCATTGTTATTTTCCAAGATAAACCTTGTATTTTTCATTTAAATGTTATGTAATTCTTTTGTTTCAGTTTGAATTTTTTTAAATGTTTAAACCATGACAATTTTTCTAGGACATTCTAGAAATTTTTGATATATATATTTTTGTACCTTAAATCATCCTTAACATATAAATGATTTCTTTATATAGTATAAAGAACTCTAAATTATAAATGCTAGAAAAGTGACTATAAGTTTAGCTGAATTGATATATGATTTTAAAAGAATTGTTCAGAGGCACCTGGGTGGCTCCGTCGGTTAAGCATCTGCCTTTGGCTCAGGTCATGATCCTGGAAGTCCTGGGATTGAGCCTGCTTCTCTCTCTCGCTCTGCCTGACAGCCTGCCTGCCCGTCTGCCTACTTGTGATCTCTGTCTCTGTCAAATAAATAAATAAAATCTTTAAAAATAAATAAATAAAAAATAGAATTGTTCATGACAAATATATTTGCATGACATTAAAAAATAATTTACTACATATAATTAATGAGAACCATATAGTCAAACTTTTGCTATGCATACAAGCAATGATCCATTCCTTGACCACTTAAAAATTTAAAATACAACAAATCAACTTAAAAAGTCAAAAATTAAGCACAAACTTGAAAAGATAAAGGAAAATCATGTTTAATTCATAAAAAGTTCATAAAAATCGGTGAACCACAAAGATCCAAAGTAGTAACTACTTTCCTTTCATATTTGTAAATTTGTAACTAGTTTTATACTTATATACATACTATTTCTTCTACTGGCTCCTCCTTGAGAAGGTATTTCAAATCAAAACAATTTAAATACTCCATTTAAAATACAAGAATCTCAATAATCGGGTTTTATTAAGTATAAATAATTTACAGGAATGCTGCTCATAGTGAAAAGACTCTAAAATAAGCCACTTTGCTATAAAATTGATTTTGAAATCACTATTGAAACAAGAAAATACACTTCTTTTCTTTTTCAAATTTTTTTATTAACATATAATGTATTATTTGTTTCAAGGGTACAGGTCTGTGATTCATCAGTCTTACACAATTCACAGAGCACACCATAGCACATAGCCTCCCCAGTGTCCATCACCCAGCCACCCCATCCCTCCTACGCACCTCCACTCGAGGAACCCTCAGGTTGTTTCCTGAGATTAAGAGACTCATACTTTGTCTCCCTCTCTGATTTCATCTTGTTTCATTTCTCCCTCCGTTTCCCTATGATCCTCTGTCTTGTTTCTCAAATTCCTCATATCAGTGAGATCATATGATACATGTCTTTCTCTGATTGACTTACTTTGCTTAGCATAATACAGTCTAGTTCCAACCACGACATTGCAAATGGCAAGATTTCATTTTTGATGACTGCATAATATTCCATTGTGTGTGTGTGTGTGTGTGTGTGTGTGTGTGTGTGTGTGTGTGTGT